GCTGTCTCAGTGCTATGATGCACTCTAAATCCTGACTGAAATTCCTCAAATAAATTATTATCCTGGAGAAAATCACACAGCTGGTCTGCGACTACTTTCTCAAGGATCTTTGACATAAAGGGAAGATTAGATATTGGTCTATAGTTGGCTAACACCTCTGGATCCAGGGTGGGCTTTTTTAGGAGAGGTTTAATTACAGCTACCTTAAAAGACTGTGGTACATAGCCTGTTAATAAGGATATATTGATCATATCTAATATATGAGTGTTAACTAAGTAGCCAGAAGTATAACTATAATATTATTACTTTCATTAATGTTGCTGTAAGCTACTGTCATTACCGTCTGTCCTGTATCTCTCTCTCTGTCTCATTGTGTCATATGGATTACTGTTAATTTATTATGCTAATCTGTTCTGTACGACATCTATTGCACGTCTGTCCGTCCTGGAAGAGGGATCCCCCCTCAGTTGCTCTTCCTGAGGTTTCTACCGTTTTTTTGGGGGAGTTTTTCAGCTGTGAGGGTCCTAAGGACAGATGGATGTTGTATGTTGTAAAGCCTCTGAGGCAAATTGTGATTTATGATATTGGGCTTTATAAATAAAATTGAATTGAACTGAACTGAATTGAATTGAACTGAGTGTAGGAGTGTTGTGTAGTGGTGTGTAGTAGTGTTGTGTAGTGGAGTGTAGGAGTGTTGTGTAGTGGTGTGTAGTAGTGTTGTGTAGTGGAGTGTAGTGGTGTTGTGTAGTGGTTTTTGTAGTGTTGTGTATTGGAGTCTAGTAGTGTTGTGTAGTGGTGTGTAGTGGCATGCGGACTCACTCCACAGTCTTGCTCCATGGCGGCGGGTCGCTCATGGTCATGAACACACAGTTGGTCAGAATCGTCACCATGATGAACAAACTGAATAAAGTTTTGGTGTTAAGGAACAAAAACATCATCAGCTGATTGATAGGTAATCAATAACTTGCTGATCAAAGCTGCTGGTTTCACCAGCCAACCAGGAGGGAGGACAATGTGAGACCATAAAGGATATGAATGAACCAGGATCCTGATGGCGGCGGTGCGCAGAGGGTTGAAGGGACTCAACAGGTAACAGGCGGGTTCAGCGTTAAACCGGAAGATGACGTTTCCTTTGGCGAGCACGATGAACGTCTGCAAACAGAGACCGATCATTAATTATTGATTATCTGATTGATTATCTGATGACATCACTGAACACAATTAACGTCTGAGAACAGCAACCGATCATTGATTATTGATTATCTGATTCATTGTCTGATGACATCACTGAGCACAATGAAAGTCTGTGGACAGAGACCGATCATTGATTTTTGATTATCTGATTAATTATCTGATGACATCACTGAGCACAATGAACATCTGAGGACAGAAACCGAATATTGATTTTTGATTAGACCTTCTGTGATTGGTAGAAAGGATCCAGCTCCTCTAATGGGGTGTTGAGAAGCTCAGGGGGCGGTTCTCCATAGATGAAGGGGAGGGGCTTCCCAGCCTCCAGGTCACTGGCTGGTTTAGGAAGATCTTCATCTGCGATCTGCCAATCAGAGACACTTGAGCACAGTATATTGATTACTTGTTCTCAGTGTATTGATTACTTGTTCCCAGTATATTGATTACTTGTTCTCAGTGTATTGATTACTTGTTCCCAGTGTACTGATTACTTGTTCCCAGTATATTGATTACTTGTTCCCAGTGTATTGATTACTTGTTCCCAGTGTATTGATTACTTGTTCCCAGTGTAGTGATTACTTGTTCCCAGTGTATTGATAACTTGTTCCCAATATATTCAGCACTTGCTCCCAGTGTATTGATTACTGTTCCCAGTGTATTGATTACTTGTTCCCAGTGTATTGATAACTTGTTCCAAGTGTATTGATTACTTGTTCCCAGTGTATTGATTACTTGTTCCCAGTATATTGATTACTTGTTTCCAGTGTATTGATAACTTGTTCCCAGTGTATTGATAACTTCTTCCCAGTGTATTGATAACTTGTTCCCAATATATTCAGCACTTGCTCCCAGTGTATTGATGATTTGTTCCCAGTGTATTGATTATTTGTTCTCAGTGTATTGATTACTTGTTCCCAGTATATTGATTACTTGTTTCCAGTGTATTGATAACTTGTTCCCAGTGTAGTGATTACTTGTTCCCAGTGTATTGATAACTTGTTCCCAATATATTCAGCACTTGCTCCCAGTGTATTGATTACTGTTCCCAGTGTATTGATTACTTGTTCCCAGTGTATTGAT